TTTCTCCCCTGAAAGCCATTGGACGGACCGTTCAATGGCTTTCAATGGAGAATAAAAAAATTCACCAAAAATTAACGAAGACTCAGAACAACACCAAATTAAGTTTCCTTACGTTTCACAAGCTGGACCATCAATGCCAAGCATTTAAAACAGGTTTCAAACAGTTTAAGGCACTTTTAAATGAGTGAAAAGAGACATCGTTGTGCGAAAATTCCCCGTAGGAAACATCGCTGTGTGAGGCGGCAAATTTTTCAGAAAAAACCATCGTTGTGTGAATTTATCGTTGTGTGAGGCACTCGTTGTGCGAGGTACCACTGTACTCTCTACCTGGAAAAGTGACAAAGGTTGCCGTAAGTAAGAATGGATTTGACAACACATCATTATTTATTATTACTTACTGTCCAAGGAAATCTTTTGTCTTGACGAACGTCTGGAATGTTAAGAGGCTCCATTGTATTTTTCACATACTGTGCATACATATAATTGATTTGGTTTGTGTCACAGTCATTGCTGAAGTAAGAAGAAACAGTTTTATTTTTATGTATTACCAGAGATTCACTTTCATGCTTGACAAACTATTTGTCAAAAAAAAAAAATAGCAAAAGGATCTATTCAAGGATTCACTGGCAATGATAGGTGGAAAATGGTGGATTTATTAACGTATTGACAAACTGCAGGCCTGCTTGTCAAAAACTAAACTAAACAAGAAACCACAAAATGAAGACATCAAGCTTCGTGTAGCTTTCTTATTTGCTTTCTATCCAGTTGTCATTCCACCACCTAACATTGCTATGAGTAAATCTTCTGGCCAAAGAAATGAAACATTGTTTTCCTCCTGCCACTGAAGGCAGTATTTTAGTTCTTAAGAAAAAAATATTTTCTTATTATAAACTGCAATATGCAAATAAATTACATAGAAATGGAATATAACAGCTGTGATGCTTACATTAACTTCAGACTCATCCACAGTGAGCTGCTGTTCAAACTTTGCTTACATTCATGATACTGGCCTTTGGGGTCCACATGACACAAGATTCAATTGAAGCAGAGCAGGCCAAAACCCCTTCCTTTCTGGGTTTTCTTGGTATATTTTTATTTTGCTTTGTTCTGATGTGCTCCAGTGCACTATCTGCCAGCCCCAGGCTGATGAATGCTGATCTGTGCACTTTCTGAGTGTGTGTAATATGGCAACATTCCCTTATGGGAATGAAATCTTCATGGCGCAATTGTGTGTGTGTGGGGGGGTGATACCGGCACAGCCCACAGTATCCGGCAATAAATACCATTTGCAAGTTTGGACATCAATACCAGGATGATCTACACAAATCTTCAATTTAAAAAATGCCAGAACAACACCAAGCAACCAACAACTGGTGCAAAATGTGTGGATGAGCCCATTTCTTCTTTTTATTGTCCTCACATTTACAGTGGTGCCTCGCATTACGATGTTAATTCGTTCCAGCGAAATCGCTGTAGAACGGAAACATCGTAAAGCGAAATTTAAAAGCCCATAGAAAGACATTCAAAGCTGTTTAATGGTTTCCGATGGACTTCAAACTCAACGTCCAGCGAAGATCCTCCATAGCGCGGCCATTTTCGCTACCCGTGCAGCGAGGAATCTGTCCCTAAATACAGCGGGCGGCCATGATTTTTACCCGGTGGCCATTTTGAAACCGCCGATTAGCTGTGCAAAAACCGTCGTTTTGCGAGAATTGGTTCCCGAAGCAGGGAACCAATCATCGCAAAGCAAAATTGCCCCATAGGAAACATCGTTTTGCGATCGCTTTTGCGATCGCAAAAACTTCATCGTAATGTGATTTCGTCATTAAATGGGGCACTCGTCTTGCGAGGCACCACTGTACAAGACAAGAGAAAACATCCATTAGCCAGACTGTATATCTGACATCAATGGTTGATGTATTTATGACATTTATTAATTGTCTCTGCATTAAAAAGAACAAGTGATATGCAATCAATAAAGCCATTTATGCATGATTCACCCTGAGAGCAAACGAGTTCCCCCCCCAAGGTATCCCCATTTGAGAAATATGAGTGAGAGAAATAAATATACTTCTCTTTCCAATTTATTGTGGGCCTATCATTACATCTGCTCAATTTTAAGTCCTCTTGGGCTTCTATCTATACCTCTATAGTTTCAAGAACGGTTGTTGTAAATGCAAGCTATGACACCCTCTCAAAGGAAATGTTTTATGGTGTAGTGAGCAGAATATAGGGCATGACCAAGCAAAGAGTAACATGGAAAGAGGATGAGAATGTCTTGTGAGGTGCTAATGTTTTTGGGGACTACAGTTATAGCTGTGTTAAAAATATTTAAAAAGTAACCCAGAGTAGAGAAACAAAAGGCTTGCAAGATGAGAGAGCCGGACAGGTGCTTTCCCAACCAGAATTATTCATATGCATTTAGAGTTTTGGCATGATTCTAAATTAATAATATATTTGCTTTGCAAATAATACAGAACAGATGGAGCGCTTATGAATGTTCCCAATACTTACTAAAGTTCATGTTAAAAAGATGCTTTCAGAACTGAATGCACATTTATTGCATTGGGACTGCTGTACAGAGAAGACACAACATCTGCTTCTTCGAATCAGGGTCTAAAACAAATCTTTTCCAAGTGGTGATTTTGAAGTATTACATTTAATTTAGGGACATGGCTCCCTTCCTTCTCACTGTCATTACTTGTTTTGCTTTAAGAGTATATGTCAGCTGAATACATCCCAAAGAGTTTTGGCCTCTCCTTGCCTAACTTTTGAAGGAGATATATACAATGCTGTGTTTGGAATGCCAGGGGTGGAGAAATGCTGAAGCAAGAAGGAGAAACTCTTGTCCTAGTACTGCTGGATTCTGCTATTTTAAGAGTGATCGTCCAGCATCAGATACAACACGAAGTTCTTAACACTCATTTGGATGTTATGAACGTACTTCTGAAAACATGTCAAGTTTCAGATCAGTCTGCTAAGCTGTTTTCAGAGTATAAACTGGGATAGCTCCATGGTATCTGACTGCGGAGCCAGAGATGGGGAGTTTGATTCCCCACTGTGTCTTCTTGAGATTGGACTCAATGATCTATAGGGTCCTTCTAGCTCTGCAATTTTCAGGTTGTTAATACTAATACTAATACTAACACTAATACTAGTTGCTGTTATTGTATGAAACACACTTCAGTGGTTCCTGTAGTCATTGGGGCTCTGGGAACAATATCAAGAAATTTCACGAAGTATTATAAGCAGTTACAGAGCTCAGAAATAACACCATCAGAACTACAAAAAACAACAACAACATTAGGAGCAGCATACATACTGCACTGATATTTAATAGATACTTAGGTTTTTGGTTAAAACTTGTATTTGTTATATAATACCAGTCAATGCTTTTATCATTTTGATTGACTGTGCCTGTTGTTTTATCATCATCATCATCATCATAAATACTGGGTATGCCCCCATTTTCTGGTTACAGTAGTGAAATACTGTATGATCCATTCAATTCAGCCTTAATTCAGGCCCACTCAGATGTCCCTACAGTAATCAAAGAAAAATGTTACATTTCCCACGTCAAACATGTATTTGAGGAAATGGTAGTCTCATCAATTATTTCACCTTTTGCGGGGCTCACCAGAATCTTCTAGTTCCTCAAATTCCATGTGAAAGACACTAGAAAATGAATCCTAGAAATGAAAAGAGAGTTTCTGTTTAGTTAATGTATACCAACTGAATTATCTACATATTAACATAATCATTTAAGTAGCTGGGCGATTTTCTCCTAAGGAATAAATGGCCCTTTGGAAGTCACAGAGTTGCTCCTGTCTTGTGATGAAATGCCACTGAATGTAGGATAACACAAGCTACTACATTACAATGTTAGCACCATGTTTTCCAATCTGAATTTGAGGCTCAGTTGAGTCCTTCTCCTTGACAATGAGCTCTAACATTATGCCAGATGCACTGAAAAAAAATATCAAGGCACAGCTTTCAACCGCTGTGAATTAGGCAAAATAACACATGGGACTGACTCAGATAAATAAGATATGTGGAAGGGAAAATATGCTGAAACAACTACACTGGCATCTTTCTCACTATGTATGATCTGACCTTCCAACTGCATTTAATATGCCACCTAACAGGTATTTTTCTCCTGTGCGCTGCTGCTCACCAGACAGAAAGGAAATCAGCTACTATAGCATGTTAAAGTAAGGAAGTAAAGCATATTAATCACATTCCTCGTTGTGGTTGCCTCAGCATGACAAAATACCTGAACAAGTAATTTGCAAGTCCTACAAGATTCCTCAGCTTCAGCACAAGAGCAAGACAAGAACACTTTCATCCTAGCAAGAATTCTGAAATTTTCACAAAATGTGACTGTGGTTGTCTGTGCAAAACTAGGTGACAAGCATAATAAAGCATAGCTAAGTGAAGCAAAGCAGAGCATAGGAAAGCATAGCAATGCACACACATAGCAGGCACAGGAGGACTGGAAAATAAACAAAAACAAAGTCAACAGCCCAATGACCTAATTAATGGTTTTAATTTATCAAAAGTCCTGTTTTGTTTCTTTCCTGTAAAATAGCCGATTATAAGGTAGCATATGAATATTTCAAATAAATTAAAATTAGCATTAAAGACTCACTAGTTTCAGTGGCTATAACACAGGGTTAAAATCCTCCACCACATGTCATTCTATATAATTTCAAAAAGTTGGGTGTAGTCCACTGTTAATAATGGAAATTTGAGAGCTGGCTGTAAGGCACTGAAGAGAAGAATAACAACCTTGTTTCTTTACATACAAAGCAGGCCTAGTACTTACAGGGCAGTCTTCATCCACTATGAAAATGGTACACTTCTGCACCTGCATGAAGGAGATTATGGTGGCAGCTATCTTCTTCAAAATGACTTCCAAGGACTGCTGCTCTTCAAAAATTAAACTGGCAAGATTGAGGAGCACCTGTGGGAGAAAGATTGCCCCAGTCACGTTATTCCTCGGATTTAATTATGAGGTAGCTAGATTTTTTTTTCTTTTTGAAATGTGGATGAACATGAGAGGTTGAGGTATGTTGTCTCACGATATGAAAGGCATTTTAAGGAAGCACATACATCTTGATTTCACACAGGCTCTAGGGACCAAAGGGACGTGGTGGCGCTGCGGGCTAACCCGCAGAAGCCTGTGCTGCAGGGTCAGAAGACCAAGCAGTCGTAAGATCGAATCCACGTGACGGAGGGAGCTCCTGTCGCTTGTCCCAGCTCCCGCCAACCTAGCAGTTCGAAAGCATGCAAATGGAAGTAGATAAATAGGGACCACTTCGGTGGGAAGGTAACAGCATTCCGTGTCTAAGTCGCACTGGCCATGTGACTATGGAAGATTGTCTTCGGACAAACGCTGGCTCTATGGCTTGGAAACGGGGATGAGCACCGCCCCCTAGAGTCGAACACGACTGGACAAAAATTGTCAAGGGGAACCTTTACCTTTACCTTTACTCAGGGATCAACTCCCCCTGCAACTTGTTTTTTAAAATGTACTAGCTTTTGCTAATGAAGAGTATAATACGGGGGAAAGTTTTCTCCCCTGTTAAGACCTTTGAACATCCAAGAAAGGGGAAGTTGTGCTCTGTTTTGATTGTTGTTAAATTGATGTTCAAATGTTCTATGGGTCGGAAAGGTTGCTTTGACCAATGGCATGATGGTTGCAGGATTCAAGAAATTACAAATTCTCCAAAGTACCTTTTCCCTAGTTCAGTTTTCAAAGTCCTCCACTCCACCCTGTAAAGTATTGGATTGTTTTAAGCAATTGTTTGTTTGTTTAATGCATGCTTATAAACTCCTTCACTGCAAGATTTCTTCCTTTAAGGGTGAAGGGCTTTTGTCTTAATAGAACTATTGAAAAATGGAGTTACTTCTGAACAGCCTTTCTGCAAGGTATGCAACAGAAAGTAGTAAACCGCTGCTATTACTATTACAAACAGGTTACTTTAAGAACAGGTTGTTTTAAGAGACAGCCATTGAGCTGATGATTTTGTTGCATTGGTTGATTCTGGTCCTGTTTGTTTGTTTGTTTGTTTGTTTATTTAATTTTTACCCCGCCCCTCTAGACCATGTCTACTCGGGGCGGCTTACAAAATAAAACAGAACAGTATAAAAATATATAAAATCATAAAATTACAATTACAATTTCAATTTAAAACAATTAATTTAAAGAGAGGATTACCAAGATGTAATAGCAAAGAAAAGACAAAACGAGAAAGACTTAATTGACTGGAGGGAAGGCCTGCTTGAATAACCAAGTTTTTAACTGGCTTTTAAAAACACCCAGCGAGGGTGCCAGCCGAATTTCTGTTGGAAGGGTTGATTCTGGTCCTATCTTACTTAAGATTGCTGGCATGTCCCTCTAGGATGAAGAGTAAGTTAAAGTCTTTTAAAAATAAAAAACATTTTTTGGTAGAAAATCATGTTTCTTTAGAAAGGCTGATGGTTCATATTTAAAATTATTGTTATACAGCAACAGGCTCTTGTGGAAAAATGAAAGACAAAGCTTAAAAGAACTAAGGAATAATAATGGCGCAGAAATAAGGAAATCATTCATCTCTAGGTGTCTCCCCCTCCTACCTAATTATGAAACTGGGTTTTTTTTTGTAATGACCCCATCCTGTTTAAACCAATAAATATAATACTTAACATGAAAGATATTTAAATTAGCTGTTTGGCTACCACCCATTTCTACTAACTGTTTACTCAGGACAGAGGTCCTATTCATCCAACATCTGCAACAGAATTCTGGAGCTTTTTTTTTTTTGCCAAGTACATTCTTAGCCCAGTGGGGACTCACAACAGTGCATGTTTTGAGTGAAAGTGTTAATGCAATTCCTTGATTTCTCCAACAATGCCACACTCAAGTCTGACAAAAAAAAGAGACTTTTGATAGGGGGAAATTCTCGATTTGCCAAGCTAGAGTCCTGCTTGCAAAACACCCATGCGATGAAGACTTGGTTGGGATGCTGGCCTGGAAGGTTGAAACGCCTTTGAAAGCAATTCTGAAATATCATCCCACCAGGAAGTTTTGGAGGACTGACTGCCCATTTTATTCCCACCCATTTTTTAAAAATTTAATTTTATTTTTTTACACTGGCAAGGGAGGCTCTAGATACTTCCTTCCGTAAACAGAGGTAGAATATAAATAACCTTTCAACAAAGCACATGGACAGATGAAACATACTGAGAGACCAGCTCTGCTTCAACAGATATAGTAAACATGCTATTAATACATGTGGAGGAGCCTCAGAGTCTGTGTGAGTTTACTGAAAAAGCAGGATCTTGACTTGTTCAGACTCAGACTCACCCCAAAGCCAAGAAGGTGGTGGTAAGGTGTTGGAAAGGAAAAGATGGACTCACCTTCCCTTCTTTTCTGGTTTCTGTTGACGCAACTGAATTAGACCCAATGAAAACATGCAGTAAAATTGGAGTAGGGAATTATAAAACATCAAGAAGTTACTTTTTTAGACTACACCACCCTGGATCCCCAAGCAGCTTGGTTATTTTTTGCTGGGTGGATTCATGAGTTGTAGTCAAAAATGTAACTTCTCCAAGCATTAGCTGTTTTCCCCCATTGGGTATGTGGAATATAACTTCATGTGATGGAGGAGGGCCTAGAGATCCTTAGAAGAATGTCTGCTTGGCATGGACAAGGCTGTAGGTACACTCTGGTTTGAAAGATCTTATATGCCAAGTGTGCAGAAGTTCTCTAACGGAGAGAACTTAAAGCCCAGGTCTGAATGGCTTTTGAACTTGTTGCAAGATTTCTGATTCAGCAAACATTTAGCAGGGATGCTAAAGCAAAGAGTTATCATAGTAGGAACTTTTCAGATATGTTGGCCATTGCCACTGAACTACACCTAAAAAGGAAATCAGTGAGGAGGGTGCTGCCCCTGTTCCTATTTATAAGGGTGAAGCACAAATTTAAATCAGGGCTGATAGGCTATAGGGCTACTCTAGTTTATATTGTGAATTAAGATCTGGGAAGGTCTCCATCTTCATTTTGCTAGAGGCTGGAAGGTCAGTAAGTGAAAGCAGTACTTACTGGTGCAGAAATACAAAAATAAAGGAAACACCAAAATTCCAGGCCCATGATCCATAGTGGACACAGCAATTGTCAAGTAATTTTTTTTGCAAGGGATCATGGGGTCTGTTGTTTAATCAAAGACCCCTAGATGCAGAAGCATCAATGTCAGGTCTGCTAGGGTCCCATGTTTCTCTCTCTCTCTTTCTCTCTCTCTGTATTTCCCCTGCTGCCTTTCTGATGTAAGGAAGGAGCAAGACTCGGGCAGGCTGCAGCTTGCTGCTTTTAGACTTGATTTGCATGAACCGAGTGCAAAGTGCAGAGCGAGTCTTTTCCGGCCCATCCCATTTTCTTGATTGTGACGGGGCATGTAATGCAGGGTACACACTGTGGGCCACATGCACACCCCCAATGTCACCTCAGGTACACTCTGGTTCGAAAGATCTTATATGCCAAGTGTGCAGTACACACTATGGGCCACATGCACACCCCCAATGTCACCTAGCAAAGACATAAATTCACCCCAGGGTCCCAGAAACTTCAATGGGGGACAGCTCCCCATTCCAAGGCTATTTGGGGTCTTCCCAGACCTTTTAGAGGCCTAAAATTATGTTTAAAAGAAAGGAAAGGAAAAGGAGAAGTACTTTCTTATCACTTCTACTTTTAAAAAGGGTATCGGTGGCCCACAGAGATTGGGGGCAAGAGGGAGGCATGCCCAGGCCTTTCACAGCAGGTGAACCCTAGCTTTATTGTAATCAGGGTGGTTGTGAGGGTTCGAGGTTATGTGTCAAAGGGTCTTCCCCTTTACCAATGAGTACATAAGACTTTACATGCTTTGCCAACTGTGGGACATTTATTTCAGTATGAACAAATAAACTAGTATCTTTAACCAACACAGAGTCTTTGTCTCCTTCCACCGATGGGACAGACCAGGGTTTCCAATCTTCCATAACAAAACAGTTGCCATAACTAGAGTTCCATGGTCCAGGATGGTCCGGTGGAGTCCAGTCCCATAATGTCGTGGCCAACGGTACAGACAACAAGGCCATGTATCCAAGGAGATATTCCCACTTGGAATCCCTCTCTGAACTCAGTTTCTCCCAGACCTTCTCAATTCCTCCATCTTCTTCATCTCCTGAACTCACCATTCATTTCTCTTACATCTTTCTTCCTCCACCTTCTCCTTATCCTCTCTTATCTTTCTACACCACTCTCTAACTCTGTTATATCTCCCCAGTATGAGGGTTGGGTTCGGATCACTGATCTTCTCCTACAGTCTGCCTCCTCTCTCACCATCCACAGTCTCTCCCACTTCTGAGTCCATGGATCTTGCATCTAGATCCCTTCCCAGCCAGGAGGTAATGCCCCCTGTCTTCCTATCACCTCTCCTTCCCCTGCTTCTGTCTTCTCCCCCTTTCTACCAGTCTTTTCCGCCTCTCTCAGCTGTTCCTCTTTCATTCCCATCTCCCTCATACTTTGGGCCAAGGCCTCTTCAGTTTCCTGTAGGGGTTTCCCGTGGGCCTCCTCCAGAGTCAACTGGGATTCATCTTTCTCTCCACACTCAGTCCCTTTGTAGAGGATGGACGGCGCTAAAGCAAGTGGTGGCTCCGACTCGCCTCCTGCCTCACAATGGTTTTTATGACTATATGAAAAATTTGAATTTTGGAGTATTTGTCACGAATACTGACATTTCCAGAGGAAGTGACATAGAAATAAATAATAGTCATACTACCACCGCCACTTCTCTTTCACCAACCCTGTTTATTTCTTAGCAATATAGCCCACTGTGCCAGCTAACTTTTTCCCAACCGTGCATGCTGCCATTCCCACCTGCCATTTGTGGCACCAAGAGCTGCTCGTGGGTGTAGCACTCCACAAACATGTACTGCATGTAGTTCAAAGAAAGTCAGAAAACTTGGGTGAAGGGAAGTTTTCATTATACAGTCTTCATATGTTCTGTGTCCAAAGCTGGTCCCACTATTAGGGAAGAGAAAGCAGTGTGCTATGGGATTTTGTACCCCTGGTGGCTTTGAGTTCAATTTAACATGCTATCCTATTGTCACTGCTGCAGGAAATTTGAACTGTCACCCCAGTTGACTTTTGTATGTGGAACGGGAGGTGGTACAAGCATGTTCTTTCTCTCAAGCAATAAAATATCCGGGGCTATGTGCACATGGAGGACTTAGTAGGCTTACCTGATTGCGTCTGTTTTCAAGCAGGGATGTCTCATATAGTTGAGCATTGTGAAGAACAATCCCACAAAAGGCCAGGTAAGCAGCAAAGTCCTGAAAACCAGGAAGAGAAATTTAACTGAATTGGCAACTTGAGTTTGAGAAAGCTGGGAGTTAGCCAACAAACACAAGCACAAATATTGGGCTAGATCATGCTAATGGGGGAAAAGCAACTCAGCTTTTGATTAAGTAGAAAATCAAACCGCTTATTCTAGATTCCGTACTCTCAAGGCCAACTGATATACAAACAATATTTTACATTGATTCTAAAATTTTGTGGGAGCCCTTACTAGTATATGATTTGTGCTTTGGCCATTTCTCTTCAGTGTATACTACAGAAAGGCCAAAGTATGCAAGCCTAGATACCAACCTGTACAAATAACTATTTACAACTTGAAATGCTCTTGTTTTCTGATTTCTAACAACACTCCAATTATTTGGTTAGCTGTGAAGAGCTAGAAGGAAGTTGTCATTTTATTTTCCCAGCCACACTACTTCAGTAGTAATGAGTGCTCTTTATACACTGCCTTAAAATATCCAGTTCTACCTAGGACCAGATCCCCAACAGTAAAGATTTGTGGTCAATTCTTGCAAAGACAAAAACAAATTCAGATAATGGCCTCCATTATATGCAATATTAAATGTACAACATCTTCCAGAAATCCTCATCCACTTGATCCAAAGCAAACAAAATAAAAACAAGAATCTTACTTCCTTGAATAATAATAATAACAATCTACAGACACTGTCAAAGGGTGTTTGAGATTATTTTTGACAATCATATATAAAACTGTCCTACTGGTTAGCAGTTGCCAAGATTCTTCTATTTGTTTTGGAAATCAACCCCCCCCCTTTCTAACCACAGCTTACTTAAGACGAAGTATTACTGACAACAAGGTATTTATTTGTGAATAAGTGCATTCTTGAGAACAGTCTGTGTAATATTTAAGTGTATTTTGTCATTATAAAATTATTCAATAAATTGGTCTGGAGAACCAAACTCACCAAACTTTCTGTCATACTTAAATAACAGAACACACAGTATAGCCATCTGTTATACAAGAAACTACATATTTTCAAAGCAGGAACTCAATCCGGCCTAGGTAGCAAAGCCAGAAACCATTTTTGTTCAGGAAATATATTAATCACGATGTCCTGCAGATGTTCATCACACATTCCACGTAGAAGGGATGAATGAGTTCTGATTTAGTTACTGCCAAAGTCTGTCAGCTTTTCTAGCCTGAGCTGAGCTCTCTTTGCTGTGCCACAGATTACTTGTGAAGTAATACAGATTTTAATAAAGCTGCTAAAAGACAAAATTTTGAATCTACTCTGCCTCAGGCACTTTTAAATAAACCCAACAGTCTTAACTGAACAGTTGTTCCAGATGGGGCTTGTTAATGAATGCTGCTTCATGCTCCTTTGTGCCTTTTTCTCTATCCCTAGATCAGCTTAGAGCAGTGGTTCCCAACCTCAGGTAACTCAGGTGTTCTTGGACTGTGGTTCCCAGAAGCCTTCACCAAGGTTGTGTCCATACCTTGATGTAACATCCTCTTGCTGTCAACCACCTTTTGCCATCTGCCATCCATACCATTATTGGGTCTGCTTCCTCCTCCCACCTTAATCCTTCCCTAACTATAATCCATCACTACAGTGCCCTGAATGGCAATGTAGTGATAAGGTATTTTTTAAAAATTGTGACAATGCTTCATGTTGAACTGCCATGCTACAATACTTATGAAGACCATATGGAACCGAAGGCCTTGCACTGCTGATGAAAACCACAGCAAAAAGAACAGAATCCTTGCTTTGTGAGAGATTTCATGTCCAGGGAGTAAACAGATTAGCTGTGTCTTAGTTTATATTTATATTGTGTCCTCTCTCCAATGAGCTCAAGCAGCCAGATTGCTGGAAAAAAAAAAGGAGGGGCAGCATTGACCACTATGGAAATGTAAGAACATAGGCAACTAGAAATCAAAGTGAAAGAACAAGACAAAGAGGTGGTACATGTAAGAAAAGACCACTCCCCTAAGTGCACATCACTATATATATCAGAGGAGACACAGCCATCAACATCAGGGAACCTATTGCTACATACTTGAAATGAGTAGGACATCTAGAAGAGCCCCGTGATCATTATGTAGGTCACTTATTCAGCTACTCCTCCTTTCAAGGAGATGATAATTGAATGAATTCTATTATCATTAAAACGTTCTTTTGCAAATTATAATTTAAATGATTTTGTTTTGTTTAATCGTTAAGATGTGTCCAACTCTTCGTGACTCCGTGGACAAGAGCATGCCAGGCCCTCCTGTCTTCCACTGCCTCCCGGAGTTTGGTCAAATTCATGTTGGTCGCTTTGATGACACTGTTCAGCCATCTTGTTCTCTGTCGTCCCCTTCTCCTCTTGCCCTCACACTTTCCCAACATCAGGGTCTTTTCCAGGGAAATTTAAATGATAGTTCAATGGTAATTTGATAGGTATCCACCTGGTCATTAACTTGGAGCCCTTCTCCATTTCTCGATAGTGAGAGAGGTACATTATGTGGAAATGGGGGAAATGTTTTTGTTTTTGTAACACTACGGGACACTCTCACCTTGGAAGCTCAAATGACATCAACATTGATTTTATTTTGGTGCCAAGTTAAAAAGTGGCTGTTCACCAGAACTTTGGGGGTTTAAGGCTGTTAAGAGGAATTTTTTGTTTACCTCTGCTTTTTGCAATTCGTAAGGTTCAATGGATTTAAATAGTTTTAAATTGCTTAATTTCTTTCATATATTTTAAATTGTTTTAAATAATTCTACTATGTTTCAAACTATTAAACTGCTTTAGATTGTTCTTGCAGAAAACCAACCACCCTAAGATCTCATGATCTAAGGGCAGGAGACAGAAAGATTGACAGATCAATTGATAGATGGACAAATGGATTACATTCCAACAATGAATATTTGTGACCTGAGACCTACGATCTGAGTTATAGGATCTCAGGCTGGCGAAGATTTCCATCCTTGAGAAATCTTCACGAAATCTTAGAAAGTGGTTGCCAGTCAGTTCCAGATTAGGACAAGCTGAGGCCCTGAGCTACTTCAGGCTTAAGTATTAATATGTATTTAGAGTCTCCCTTGCAATTGGAAGCCATAAACTGTACCCCAGTTAGACTGTGCATAAAGTTGGCTGCTGGTCAGAATAGACAATACAGAGTCAGTATAAAGCAACTTAACACATCCAGAGTATGTCCCTAATGCATCACTCACATGAGGGAAAACAGTCCTGCATCCACAGAGGGATGTCATTAGCAATGATAAAAATGCAAGGGGAAAGATGTAAGGAATGTAACCTCTAGCAGTTATGGAAGTATTCAATGGGCAAATGGTAGAGCTAGGTTCCAGCCTTCATTCAACCATAAAACTAAGTAGTCATGAAACTAAGAAAGTGGCCTGACCTACTTAATGGGTTTTTGTGAGGATAAAGTGGTTAAGAGGAGAGTCATGCATCTCTCTGAGCTTCCTAGAGTATAATCAAGATATAAGTGTAACTGAGAAGCAACAGGTTAATGAATAAATAAAGAGGAAAAATAGGTTTGGGAGATCTTGAGAAGTTGGGGAGGGAGAAGGAACTGACCATTATAGAACATTAATGCTTGTGAGTATTTGCATGCTCTTTGTTAAGGACATAAGCAGAGCCCTGCTGGATCAAATGAAAGGCCTATACAGCACAGCATCCTGTTCTTCACACTGCCCAAAGAAACGGTACAGGAAGCCTGGAAGTAGATATGGTGACAACAGCCACTCCACTGCCAGCTTCATCAGAGGACAACACACACCCCCATGTGCATGTCATCCAGATTACAAATAGGGTCCAAGAGAGAATCCAGACCTTGGCCCATTGCACATTCCCCAAACTTGATATAAAAGAGGAGTATAAAAGGAGTCCACAGAATGTCAATGAAGAATCACAAATTTTCCATTTAAATGATGAGAAATATCAATGACATCAGGACAGAAGCCATCAGTAAGGAGACCCTTTGCCCTTCAGGTACCTGCCACATCTCAGACAGAGGGAGTATCCAAAGATGCTTTGCTGACCATAATAATAAAGCCATGCCAGTCATTACTACCTTTTCATCTTGTTCAGTGAATATTCCTCCTCCACCAGACTTCTTATTGATTGCTTGTGCCACACCAACCACCTGATTAAAGAAAATGTAGCAATATTAGTTCTGTAAGAATTCATCTGGAAGGCACATGGAAATGAGTATTTACACTAGGTGTCAACGTGTTATTCCAAAAACTCTGCTGCAGCTTTTGTGCGCAAACATTAAATAAATTGCAAAAACAGGACTCTACACATCAAAGCTTAAGGTTGCAATCTTCTGGCCACTTATTTGACAGTAAGCCCCACTGAAGTTACAGTGCTTCAGTGACGCAGATGTATTTGCTTCTACATAAACAAGCACTGAACCTCTGTGTCTGAAGGGGCTTTGTGGGGATGAGAGCTACATGAACTAATCCAAACCAAACAAAGATACTGGAAGCTATGTGAGACACTATATTAATACATGTTATACAGCAGTGGTCCCCAACTTTGGGCCTCCAGATGTTCTTGGACTTCAACTCCCAGAAATCCTGGCCAGCAGAGGTGGCAGTGAAGGCTTCTGGGAGTTGTTGTCCAAGAACATCTGGAGGCCCAAGGTTGGGGACCACTACTATATAGGAGTAAAGGTCTATAAAGCATGTACAAATTACAGTTTGCCTTCAAAGAATCCTGGGGTATCCAGTTCAGTGATTAGCAAGAGAAGGGCAGAAGTTGGAAATGTTGCTTCAAGAGCCTGCAGCTCCCAGTGGGCATGCTGACTGGGGATTTGGGGAACTGTAATCCAACAAAGTCACTTTTGCAAGCTCTGGATACAAAAGCTTTCCCAACACAGTTTTCAACATTCTTCCTCTTGTTTAAATTCTACCAGTGAAATTAGTTCATCAGAGCTGAACAAGACCTCTGTTTTTGCACTTGTTGAACATGCATCTGAACCCAGATTGAACCACAGGCCTCCTATTTGGCCTTCCAGATGTTCTCACTGATCTGTAAGACTGTGCGTGCATGTGTGCATTTGTCTGATAGAGGAAGGAGCAACTAGGTTCTAGATGGTTTTTCCAATTTTCAAATGGGTCATAATTTGCATTTTATTTCCCACCTAACTATAGGCAACACAATGTACAACAGTGGTCGGAAACTCATGGTATTCTGGATATTGCTGGGCTTCAATTGCCCTCAGCTGTAGCAAACATAGTCTCTGGTGAGGGATCATGAGAGCTGTAGTTGAATAACATTGTTAGGGCCACAGCGTAAATAACATTGCTGGAGACCCATCTGCTCCTATGGATGTACAACAGTGTTCAAAGTAATACTGACAACATGTTCATTCAGAAAAGGATGGACTCACTGTCGTGTGTGTGACAAATTTGCACACAGACATAGTTATGAAGAGCTTTGTGGCACAGTGGTTAAACTGCTGTACTGCAGACAAAACTACGCTCACTGGTAGCTGGCTCAAGGTTGATTCTGCCTTCTATCCTTCTGAGGTTGGTAAAATGAGTATCCAGCTCACTGAGGGCCAATATGAAGCCTGAGCAATTAACTTGTAAACCACTCAAAAAAGTACTTGAAGCACTATGGGGTGGTATATAAGCAGCACGTTTTGCTTTTATTTTTGCTTTTTGCATTATTCTACTATTACAACGGAATGAGGCAACTAAATAGTCTTCCCAAACACATTACTGTATATCACCCCGGAACTTTCTGATAAGGATCATACAAATGTTTGGGTAATTCAGGGTACATGAAGTCAGCCATGTTGGTCTCTTCCCACATGAGCTGTCAATACAAGTGGAAGGGATTTGTGTGTGTTTTACAGATTGTGGTGTTTCCAATGAAGGAGGAAATTCATGTTCAAAAACAGCCTGAGGTTTTTCAACTCAGATAAAAACATGTCGCCTTTTCCCACCTTTTTGTGTTTCTAAACAACAGTTACATTTCAAATTACTCACAATGCTTACTTCATTTTTTTCCGTACACACAAGAGCTCTGCTGGAGTTCAAGCGTCCTGGTGTAATGGTCTGTACTTCTTAGCTCTAATGGAAAGTCTCAAAAGGAGCACTCCATTTATATCTTTGTATCTGACATTGTTGAGACCTACTTCAGAGAATTAATTGAGCCAGATGATTTACTTTTTTGATGTACCACTTTTAGTTTGGCAATAATGAAAATAATAACGTGATTGTTCTTAAGAGTTTACCTGCATGTACAGTGTGAAGTGCATTCAACTTGCCTTTTTAAAATAGATATAGCTGTACAATCATCTAGCTATACTCCACCTGGTGTCCTCCAGATGTATGGCATGGCAAGGCTATCGAAATGCAGGTAAACCTTGAGGAACAATCATGTTGTTATAGGGCCCAAAAGCAAGCAAGCAAACAAAAGCAACTGTATTGTGGCACTGTTAAGATGAAGAAATTTATTTCATAGGGAGCTTTTGTCGATTGCAATCCACTTTGGATACTGTAAAGGCGGCTGTAATTCACTTTAGTGATTTTAGCACATTAGCAGCAAGGTTGTTGCCCAGAATTCACCAGAAATAGAATTACATGTGACCACTGTAGTTTGGAAGGGATATGAAAGAGGAAATGGGGTCTTCTATTAATGTAGACTTTGAACAGATTATTGTGTGCAAGGCACACATATGGAAAAGTGCACTCAGCTATTAAGTACTGTACTAAAGTTCCAACAGCCAAGCTGTGGAGCTGTTTGGAAAATCACTTCGAATATCTCAGTAGGTTGTATGGTAATTTATAGTCCTCTCTCTTACACTAGCCTCTCTAAACTACTAGCAGCACAAATAAGATCATTGTTCTACAAAATGATCTATTAGCAAGCATAGGTTCAAAACGTCCATTTGAAATAAAGGTTTTATTGTTAGGGCCACAGCAGAAAGTCAAACTCTGATCTTTTAAGTTAATGGTAAACTCTCCAAGCTGCAAGCAAGGATTTAGGAAGACAAGATATCTGGGTATGAGACTGATAAGACACAGCAAAAAGCGCCTGTCATTTTACTCATTTATTTATTTATTTTATTTTATTAGATTTATACCCTGCCCATCTGGACCAAAGGTCTACTCTGGGCGGCATTACAAATTTAAAAACAGTTTTAAAAAACCCTCATCCTACACAATGCACTAACTGCATACCATCAAATTGATTCTGATCCTTTCCCAGGTTTTCTAGGTAGAATACACAGAAGCGGTTCACCATTCCCATCTTCTAGAGTGCTCTAGGACTGTGCAGCTTGCCCAAGGTCACACAGGCTGGCTCTTTTCTCAGGAGGCACAATGGGGAATTCCTAATCTATGGCTCTACAGGCAGATACTTAAACCACTGGGCTATCTGGGCAGCTACACAATGCATAGCTGTTTCCAAATTCCCAAGATAAGGCTACCAGAGACTCTTTAATTTAAGGGTCGTGTCCTTATTTCAGATCCTACGTCAAGAAACAAGCTTTTTATCCCCAAACAACAGGCACCACATAGAATAGGTCCTTCAGAACACACCGTGGCTTCTCATAAAGGTTCTGCTATTGTACATTTATCACTAAATGCCTCACAGCAATCATGCGCTTGCAGTTCCAAGCCCTCTTCTCCAGCTCACACACATCCCAAGCTAGGAAACTTCCCACTCACAAATGTCTTTTCTCAGATAAGAGGGAAGACGTAAACTATTTTGCACTATAATTCCCAGAATTCCCCACTGGCTGTAGGATTCTCAGAACTGAATTGCAGTGAAAAGCAGCATTTCCCTTTCTTGACATCTCTGGTAAACACAGCTTTTATAAACAGGGCAAATTTTAGACAGCTTAAGATTTCTCTATCAGAATTCAGTCACATACTAAACTGCCACTTTTCAGCATCTACTGCCTCATGCCTTACTCTGATTGTGCTGGCTCTAAAACAGGGCTATAGCACTTGGATATCTGTCAGGTGTAGCCTCTTAAGTCAGAAAAACTTGTATTCGCAAAGGCTTTCACAGCCAGGATCTAATGGTTGTTGTGGGTTTTTCAGGCTCTTTGGCTGTGTTCTGAAGGTTGTTCTTCCTA